CCATTATGGTGAGTAGTGTCATTTCCGCTTTACAGATACAGAACAAAACCGGAAATGACAGTACTTACCATAATGGACCAGACAGTATAAATTCCAAGCTGAGTAGAACAACATCGCTTCATCAGAGGCCTTGATGATGTTACCTGGCATGGTAATGAAACGTCTGAATGAAAACCAGCCAGCTCGGTGAGCAACTCAACAATCTCACCCACAACCCAAGCTACAAATCTTGGCTAAAACTTTAAATAGGGAACTATGTTGTAAAGAAGACATACGGAAGTTGCAGACAAATTTGGATACACCACTGTAAATGGACTAAAATCTAGCAGATGGAGTATAATGTGGGAAAATATGTAGTTGTTCACTTGGCAAGAAGTGTGAAAAAGCACATTATTACTTAAATGGAGAATAGTACCAGATACAGTGTGTGCTCAGGAAAGCTCATGGGATACCATCTTTTATCATGGAAGGAATTAAACTTAAAAATAAGTTGTGCTTCATTTATCCAGTGCACTGGTGAGGCCACACCTTGAACAGTGCATGCAGGTTTGGTTTCCTTATTTTGGGAAGAATGTAAATACATTGGTGGGCAGTTTGGGGGAGGTTTACTAAGAACATGAGAACATAAGAACTAGGAGCAGGAGTAGGCTATCTGGCCCTTCGAGCCTGCCCCGCCATTTAATAAGATCGTGGCTGATCTTTTTGAGACTCAGCTCCACTTACCCGCCCGCTCACCATAACCCTTAATTCCTTTACTGTTCAAAAATTTATCTACCCTTGCCTTAAAAACATTCAGCGAGGTAGCTTCAACCGCTTCACTGGGCAGGGAATTCCACAGATTCACAACCCTTTGGGTGAAGAAGTTCCTCCTGACCTCAGTCCTACATCTGTTTCCCTTTATTTTGAGGCGATGCCCTCTAGTCCTAGTTTCACCTGCTAGCGGAAACAACCTCCCTGCCTCCACCTTATCTATTCCCTTCATAATCTTATATGGTTCTATAAGATCTCCCCTCATTCTTCTGAATTCCAATGAGTATAATCCCAGTCTGCTCAGTCTCTCTTCATAATCCAACCTTCTCAACTCTGGAATCAACCGAGTGAATCTCCTCTGCAACCCCTCTAGTGCTAGTATATCTCTTCTCAAGTAAGGAGACCAAAACTGCACACAGTACGCCAGGTGTGGCCTCACCAGGACCCTATACAGCTGCAGCATAGCCTCCCTGTTTTTAAACTCCATCCCTCTAGCAATGGCAGACAAAATTCCATTTGCCTTTTTAATTACCTGCTGCACCTGCAATCCTACTTTTAGCGATTCATGCACAAGGACACCCAAGTCCCTCTGCACAGCAGCGTGCTGCAATTTTTTACCATTTAAAACATAATCCATTTTGCTGTTATTCCTACCAAAATGGATGACCTCGCACTTATCAACATTGTACTCCATCTGCCAGGCCTTTTCCCACTCACTTAGACTATCTATATCCCTCTGCAGACTTTCAGTGTCTTCTGCACACTTTGCTCTACCATTCGCCTTAGTGTCATCTGCAAATTTTGACACACCACACTTAGTCCCCAACTCCAAATCATCTATGTAAATTGTAAACAATTGCGGTCCCAACACTGATCCCTGAGGCACACCACTAGCCACTGACCGCCAACCAGAAAAACACCCATTTACCCCTACTCTTTGCTTTCTACTGGTCAACCAATCCTCTATCCATGCCAATACATTACCTATAATACCGTGCAACTTTATCTTATGTAGCAGCCTTTGGTGTGGCACCTTGTCAAATGCCTTCAGGAAATCCAGATACACCACATCCACAGGTTCCCCATTGTCCACCATGCAAGTAATGTCCTCAAAGAATTCCACCAAATTAGTTAAACATGACCTACCCTTCATGAACCCATGCTGGGTGTTCCCAATGGGACAATTTATATCCAGATGTTTTGCTATTTCTTCCTTAATGATAGATTCAAGCATTTCCCCCACTACTGAAGTTAAGCTAACTGGCCTATAGTTACCTGCTTTTTGTCTACTTCCTTTTTTTTAAACAGTGGCGTCACATTGGGGTGGTTCCCACAGATTGGAAAACAGAGTCCAGTGAATTCTGGTAAATAATTACTAGAGCATTTGCTATTTCCCCCATCACCTCTTTTAGTACCCTGGGATGCATTTCATCAGGGCCAGGAGACTTGTCTACCTTTAGCCCCATTAGCTTGCCCAGCACTGCCTCCTTAGTGATAATGATAGTTTCTAGGTCCTCGCCTGCTATAACCTAAGTGGAAAGAGTGTGTTGCCTGATGGACAGTCATTATTTGTTTCTGCTGGAAGTTAGAAGATTGCATGTTTTTATTGAAGTGTACAAGAACCTGAACAGTCTTGAAAAGATTGAAGGTGTTGTTTCTTATGGGTCAGTCCAGAACAGGGAGTCCCTGTTTACAAATTAGAGGACAGAGGTGAGGAGAAATCTTTTCTCTGAGAGTTGTGCCACATTGGAACTCTCTGCCTCCCAAGGCAGTGGAGGTGGGGTTTATAGAATATTTTGAAGCCACAGTTGGATAGATTCTTTTAGGTAGGGAAATTGTGAGTTAACAGGAGCAGATGGGAATGTGGAATTGGAAACACAACAGATTAGTCATGATCTTACTGAATGGCAGAGCAGACATGAGGAACCAAATGGGCTGCTTCTGTTCCTACTTTGTGTGTTTGTAATGTCTTTGATCTTCTCTGGACTCCATTTTATGATTCTGCAACATCCCTGTAATATTAAGATACAGAACAGTATTGCAGTCTCACTGAGGTGCCTCCTTAAGAATCCTTAGCTCTCTAGCCGAGTTTATTTGCTTTCTTCCCCATGTCTTCAAAGACATTGAGTTGATGATTTCAACAAGCAGGCAACTCCAACCAATGTTCTATTGTCTGAACATTTTATATCTGGTATCAGTGCCACCCACCATGCTTTGTTGCATCTTGTTTAGATCCTTTTGAATTACTACATGTTGGTTAGCACCATTAGCCACTATGTCTAATTTGTTCTTACTTGTAAACTTGGCAGTATTTTGTTCCTCGACTCATTTACAAACATTACAGAAAACAGTGGTCCCCGTTCTAACCCTTGTATGACTTGATGGTAACCCACTTCCATTCTGATATCTCTGAATGCATCTTAGTCCTTTACTTTCAACCTTTCAGCAGTGAATATTTCAACACACTTTTTAATAACCTTATTAATCAGTGCATTATGTTGGCAACTTGAAGGTTCACAAATATCACTTGCCTAATCTTGGTCCATCATGTCTGTAAGTTCCTCATAGTATCAAAGCACAGTAATTGAGATCCTGGTTAATTGCAATGGACTTCTGAAGATGTCATCAGAATAGAAGTAGGTTGTTCAGAAACTTAAGACATGGCTAATCTGTACGTCAACTCCATTTACCTGGCTTGGATCCCTATCCCTTGATGCCATCAACCAGTAAATATCTATTCACTTCAATGTGGAAAGGATCATGACGTAACCTCTTTGATAACATAGTGTGGAGCTGGAGGAACACAGCAGGCCAGGCAGCATCAGAGGAGCAGGAAAGTTGACATTCCAGGTCGGGACCCTTCCTCCAGCTCTGCACTGTGTTATCTCTGACTCCAGCATCTGCAGTTCTTACTACCTCTTTGACTTTGCACATTACACCATTAGAGCAGTAGCCTGCTCAGTGACTCGATTCACAACTTCAGCTAACTCAGGTACTGTGCTTGGAAACAGATAGAGCCAGGAGCTATTTTACCGCCTTCATCTTCCTAAACCACTCTGGTATACATTTACTTCTGATTAAAGGCGTTTCCAATCTCTGCTCTGCTTTTAACTCTGCCGTGTCACTGCAATTTCAATGACCACTTTCATTGCAATTTCATTAGAGTAATGAATAAGTATTTTTGCTCCTCACTTATTTTTAGCCTCCACCAGTATTGTACTAGTAAAGAGTCCTTTTGCGCACCTTAATTTTGTCACTGACATATTCACAGAATTGTTGATTCTCCAAATTTTGTTGTGCTGCTACTTGTGTTTAATCAATGTTCATGTGTGACCGCATCTAGAGCTTCTAAACTGGAGTTAAGTATCAAATTTGAAAACCTGTCTTCAGTCCAAATGTTGACTCTTGTGCAGAATCGGGTTGAGAGTCTATGCTTTAGACAACCAACATTTGATTCTTAAAAATTCTTCAAATACAGAGATACCCCACAATATGGAAGTGACTTTTCTCCTTTGATGCAGAACAACACATAAGAAATATTATTGTTATGAGGCACCTAAATAGAGAGAGACAACCTCCATACAGGCACTGAATTGCTGGATATCTGCTGTTTGGGAAAGCACTGTCGGCTGATGACATAAACATACAATTTTTCTTTTCACAAT